CAAAATCTCATCGTCGGCATCCTCTTGCCCCGCCACCCCCTCACCCTTATCACAACCCCGACTGTCGTCTTCCGCATCCTTTTCATCATTGGCCTCATCACGCTTACATTCACCATTCAGTAGCATCATCCTTCCCCTGTGGCTCCTCTTGCTGCTCATGCTCCACATGATGTTTCTGTCCCTCCTTCCTCCCCGCATCGTCATCTCTTGTCCACCTGTTCTGCGCTGCTGTGTCTCGGTTTCTGCTCGTCCTGCTGCTGATGTTTCTCAACCTCCAACCTCCATCCCCTCCTCCGCCTCCTCAACCACCGCCCCCTGCTCCCAATATTGGCTCCTACGGTGCTGCCGGTGGCTGCTGCTCATTCTCCTTCCCCCGTTCCTTATTCCCTTACTCGCCTTGGCCAGCATCATCCCTGCTCCTCCTCCTTTGTTCCTCCTTGTTTCGCCCTGCTTCTGCCGCGAGCCTCTCCGCATATCCTGCTCCTGCTGCCCTCCCCCCATTTCCCCCTCCTGCTTCTGCCCCACGTGTCCATCCTCATCCCCTTCCGCCCCACGACTCATCGACCAAGACAGTCAATGACTGAAGCGTCACTCGCGGTCTCGCACACGCCCTCGAATCCAGGTGCAGAGGGTCCGCCAGCAGCTCCTCCGTGCAGCGGGTGTCTAAGGGCTGCGCTTCCGACCAGCACGACTCGCGGTGTGCGCTGCATTCCGGCCCTTGCGAAAAGGTCTCTGGGCGTGGTGCGGGAGGCAGACTGCTGGCGGAAAGGACGCCAAATTCGTCTGCGCTGCCTTCTCCTCTTCAACCCTTCGTCTGTGCACCGCAGGCCCAAGCTCGAATGGCATGAGGGACACGAATCCTGGCAAACGCGGGTCCCGGACCCAGTGGCTTCCCAAAGAGCCAGCTTTTCGTCCTGAGCCGTCTCTGGACAGGGGGCCCGCCAGGGGCCCGTTTCCCTCGGGACTCCTTTTCTGTCATGGCGATTCATTCGCGTTGCATTCTCCTGGCGGTCGGTGTCTGCGGAGTCTTTGGTGGGCGGAGGATCCGAGGCCTCGCGGCTGACTGGCGACAGACGTCGCATCAGAACGGACACCCGCATCGCCCTCGTGAGACATGAGCGGCACCCTGGGCGCCAGCCCCTCCTGCGCCAACGTCGAAGCCTGCCTGAATTGCGCTTCGCCCGTCCTCCTGCAGGGTCTGCCGACTGTTGCGCGCCCTTCGCGATCGACTGAGCGAGCGACAGAGGATCCCCCGCGCCCGCATCAGCTGGCGCGCTCTAGAAGGGGCCTCGCCTTCGAGGATCGAGAGGGTTGCCCTCTCTGCCGCGGCGGGCGGGTCGAAGGCAGGCGGGCGGCGGCAGAAACAGAGCGAGGTCACTGCACCTTGGACTTTCTGGGAGGGGGCGCGAAAAAGCCGAGGCGTGGTGGATATGTATACAGGTCTAGCTTCTATAGGGGTCAGAACTGTATCCATATCCACTGCGCCTCTGGTCTCCTGGGGAAGGGAGCTCAAAACTCCAAGACGCAGTGGATGTGGATACGTCAGGTCCGTGTCGTGCCGACTTCGGCGCTAAGTTCTGCCACCGCGGGGAACGTTCAACCTTGAACGATCGGCCGTTTCCGAAACGCCCATACCGTTCCACACCGAACGGTTCTGGGTCGCACGCGTCGCTCAAAGCTGAACGCCGCTGGCGGGGTCGCCGTCGGCCGATCCGACACGAACCTGCCGTGCGAGAGTGGCCCGCACTTTCGGGAGCGGCCAAGAGGGGGGTGTCCAAGAGGGGGGGGTGCAACTCATGAGCGGCGGCACGTGCGCGGCCCAGCGGGGGGGCCAGGGACGTAATGAGACAAGGAGAGGCGCCGTGAGATCTGAGGACATATCATATGGCCCACGCCATGCTATCCACCCCCCCTAGTCATCACCCCCCTCTTTTCCACCCCCGACCATACGGAGAAGGAAGCTCATCCTTATCTTCCTCCGCAATAATCTACACAAATCCGCCGGCCCCCTTGTGGGGCCAGCAGGGTGTAGGCTGGGAATTCGCAGCTTCCTGTGCCAATCGCAGTTTCCGGTTTCCACTGCTGCAGCTCTGCTTCTGGCTGCTTACTTGTTCCTCGTTGGCTTCTTGCCGCTTGCTGTGCCTTGTTGATGGATCACCCTCCTCCCCTGACCTTCCAGAGAGCTATTTTTTAGCACTGGAGACCTAAAAACCTAAAAAGCTGAGCGAAACAGCCTAAAACCAAGACGTAGAATAGCTTTGGGATAGGTTTTTGGGTCGGGTGCTATTTTTTAGCCCTCCTGGAAGGTCAGGGTCTTCTCCGCCCCCGACACTTCCGCAACGGGCCCGGCGGAGGGCCCGGCGCCGGCGGGGCGCGGGCCCGAGGCCGGCGCGGCGGCCCGCGCACGCCGCGCCGCACGCGGGATGGTGCCGCGCGCGGGGCGAGGCCCTGCCGAGGGCCGCCCGCGCCGGGGCCCGGGCGGTGGGCACGCGGCGCGCGCGGCGCGGCGCCTCGAGGCTGCGGCGGGCCTCGGCGCCCGGGGCAGCAGCGGCGAGCAGGACGGGCACAAGGGAGCGTAACGCTCCCTTGTGCCCGTCATTCAAGATGAAACAAACACTCCATTACTTTCATCCTAAAGCGTTCTACTCGGCGTTTCGGCACTCGGTGTGCTGCCGATCTCAGCCACTTTTGAGCTGGCGACGCGTTGCGGGCTCTCTAGGTCCTCTTCCGGGCCAAGAGGCTGCGGTGTCCCGCGCGCGTGCCGCGCAGCGCGCGAGCAAGGCAGCAGGAGGTCAAGAGTGCGGTTTTCTGTTCACCCCCGGTTTTTTGTTCACCCCCGGGTTTTTTCACCCCCGGGCGGAAAGGGGGGTGCAGGGGGGGTTCTGCCTCCAGGCCAGGCCTCTGCTTAGTAAGACTGTCTGCAAGTGTGCTGCCTCTGGGGGAGACTCCACCCGCTCGAAACAGGCGCCAAAAAACAGCCAAGATCTACTCCATGGGGGGGACGGGCAGCCCGCGCCGATCGGCGATCACCAAGACGGGGGGGCTCCAAAGCAAGTGTTCCGCGGAGCGGGAGCTCCACGATGATGGCGGTTTGACACTGCTCGCTCCTCCCTGCCCGCGTGTCGCTCAAGGTCTATACCCCGAACCCTTGACGCCCGCCCGCGTGCCTCTTCTCTTGACAGGTGGGTGCCTGTGACCCCCTCCCCTGGCCAGGTCTTTATACAAGCGCGCCGCCAAGCACGTGGGGTGGTTGAGAGCCCGCCGCGCCAGCCGAAGCGTGTGCCCACTTTTGCTGCACCAAACTGCCACAGAGAACTGCAAACTGCAGTGACGTAGCCTCCTCCTCGCTGACTACCCCACTTCGTCCTCCAAGGCGTCCCCGTCCTCCTCGTCCATCTCGCTCCACTCCATTCTACCTCCTCCTCCTCCTCCTCCTCCTCCTCCTCCTCCTCCTCCTCTGCCGCCTCCCGACTGCTCCTCGCCTGCCCCTTCGACGCGGAGGATCGGGAGCAACCGGCCCACCGCCAACCACTGGCCCACACCATCCAATGGGGCTTCCCGGTTGCTGTCAATGGTCGGTCGCCCCAGGAAGGTATCCTTCGGGCCGAGCTTGTACTTTTGGCAGAACGCGTCCACCGGGTCGCTCTCTCTCGCCCTTTTGAGGTAGTCCTTGAGCTCGTTGTCAGAACGCTTGTCCTTAAGGGGCTCGGCAATCACTTTGATGTCGAGCGGCGCTCCCCAGATGGAATGATGGGAGGGGGAGCTCTTAACATTGTTCAGGGGGCGGGTTTAGCGTGCGGCTCCCGACAGGTGAAACACCCATACGCGGCCATGCGGGGACGGAATATTATTGCACCTCGTGGTTTGGGGTTCAGCCTGCAGGAGTACTGTCATGAGAACGCCCACGCTTGGGCCGTAGGTGAAGCTACATATGGGGCACGATCCGTATCAGGCGTGAGGTGGGAAGTGCGCGGAGACGCTATTCCCAACGATAGGAATGCCAACGCTGGAACAATAGGCGGAGGTATCCCTGGGAACTGATCCGCGTGCAAGTCGTGGCGAGACTGGCGCGCCAACGCTAGAGGAACGCCCCCGCGGTGCCTTGTTTTGGAAAATGAAGGCGAGGGCCGGTTTACGTGGGCGTCTTCTTGAAGCCGACGTTTAGGGGGTCTGGCTGATCAGGGCGCCCTCTGCGCCTTCGATGTCGTGTCCGACCTGAGCAAACGGCATTATCGAAGATTGCGCGCGTGACTACCACTCCGTAGAGCATGATCGACACCAACGTCATGCTCATCCTTTTCTTATCATCATCACTACTGCCTGCCCCGTCATCATCATCATCACGGCCGCAATTTTCGCACTTGTCGTTCATGTGGTTGTCACAGTCGATGGACCTTCTGTCGTTTCGTCGAATCGTCACTGCCGTCGCCTTTTCATATCGCATCGTCAAGGTCAAGGTCAAGGTCAAGCCTGTATGCCCGCGGAGGGGCGGCCGCTTAGGGCACAGGCGGGTGAAAACTAGCAGGCACTCATGTGAATCAGTGATCGTCAAATACCAATCATCGTCAATGATCGTCAATGATCTCAGCAAATGCTCATATCACATCGTCAGTGATCGCCAAATACGAAACACTTGGGGGGCTCTTCTATTGTGACCCACGGGCCGGGTGCGCTGGGCCTGGGCCGTGGTCGCCCCAAGAAGTTGTCCACACACCATATAGCCTCATGAACGACATGGGCTCTCGACTCACGTGGGGCTCCTGAAGACGAGGCCAGGACGAAGATAACATCTGGTGAGGATGCATCGAGAATCTCGAAGAGATGGCGGCTTTGGGGGATGTCTCGGGCGCCGCGGCCTTCTCACAGAGTTCTGGAACGCTCTGAAAGCGTTCCGGAACGGTCTCAAACAGATTCATCCTGGTCCCAATCCCGTCCGACTGCTCGCGCTTTCTGGCCGGCTGTGTCGGGGTCGGGGTGTTGCCGCCTCACGCGATGCCATGCATCGCGCAAATAGGGCGAGACGACGAGGATATCCACACCTCCCCGCAAGATTCGTCACTGCTGAGCATCGCGATGGATCGACCCATAGGGCGCCCCCATGCGGAGAGAGCGTCCAGAAAAGTAGGTCTTGAAGGAAGCGGTGGGTCCGCCTTTCGACAGGCTGGGTCGATGATGAGGGGATCCAGGGGCACGGTCCATGTGAGGAGTGTGGAGACGTGAGACGCTATAAGAAGGAAGTGGGCTCGGAGACGCTATAGAAACGTCCCCACTTGGGCCCTACCCGGAGCTACCTGTGAGCGATGGGGCACGACGGGTGCAAGAGGTGTGCCGAAACGGGCGCGGAGACGCTGCGGGAACGTCCCCGCGGGGGCCGTTGGGTGGAGCTCCCCCTGAGACACGACACGCATGGAGGGGGGGTCCCGTAATCGGCGGGGGCAGGAAGAGGAGGGAGGATGAGGGGGAGGCGGGAGCTAAGAGACGCGCTGCGCCGCGGACGCAAAGCGAGGACCCCACTCCACACGATGGTTGGGAGATGTGCAAGCGCCCGCGGGCGGGCGTTTGCCGTGGCTCGAAGCATCAGGTCTGGAACAGCTCTTCAGTTTTGTGCGATCCTGTGGGGGTTGCGAGGCAACAGTCAGGGGGCTGCAACCTGGAAGTACCGCCTGTGCTCCAGACGCCTTGTGGCTGGACAGCGCGGCGATGAATGATGCACCGGGCGTGCGTGCGTGCACACAAGGTCGATCGCAGACCAGAGATTGAGTGTACCACTTACAGTCGGCTACAAGTAATGTCCCGCAGCTCAGTGAATTTGAAACAAGAGCGATGCCAATCTACAGTCGGTGAGCCCCCCCGCGGGCTAAATAAGGACATGCGACGTGCCTCGCCTCCTCTGCATGTGTGTGGCACCCTCTGCATATGGATACTGGACCTGGCCTTCTTCAGTTGCGTGTATGCATGTCTGTGTGCCTGTCGGTATCTGGCTGTCTCTGCGAGTCTGCATTTCTGTATGCATGCGTGCCTGCCTGCCTGACTATGTTGTCTGCTGTTGTGCTTGTCTGTCCGCGTGGCTGTGTGTCGATCCTTCTGTCGGGCTGTCAGATTGTCGTTTAGCTTCTGCTTGCACACACACACACACACTCTCTCTCTCTCTACTTGTTTCCTCTCCTTTTTTTTTTTCTCTCTCTCTCTCTCTCTTTCTCTCTTTCTGTCCGTCCGACTGTCTGACTGGCCAGCGGCAGGCAGCCTGTGCTCGGCCCGTGCCCCGCCCTCGGTACCGCTCCCTCGCTCTCTCGCGCTCTTTACCCCTTGTCCTCACACTGTACGCATATGCTGTGTCAGTGTCCCTTCCCCCGCTTACTAACATGATGGTACTGGCTGCCCGTGTCTGTCCGCATACATCCACACCCATACATGTTCGTACTGACGTGTCGTTTGTGGTCTCTCTCTCTCTCGCTAACCCACTGTAAATGTGTGTGGTGTTGTTGTTTGTGATGTTCCATCTTTATACATACAGATTGTCTGTCTCTCTCGTTCTATCACTCTGATCCACTGCGCCCGTACAAGCTGCCAGGATGCGAGTGACTGTGGCCGCCCGATCCTTGACCAGCCTGTCCAGGCAACTTTGCAGGTCCTGGCGACGGGCCGCACATGGACGGTGTGGGGCGGAGCTTGCTACACCGCGCCTCCCTGGAGGAATATGGGGGCTCGGTAGCGAATTGGGGCTGCCACTGAACAAACCCTCAAACACTCTCAAAGCCTCCTCCCGCGCTGGCGCCCCTGGCAAGCCGCGGCCGGCGCGATCGCGTCAAGATTCGAAGAAATCCTGGCGGTAATCCATTTCTGCATCCGCTGCTCCAATGGATCGCACACTCCAGCATCAGGGGTTGAATAAAGGGGCCCAGGGACACACAAATAAATAGACACAAATCTCAGAACATCCTACTGTTTCCCATGTTTTTTGGATTTTAGTCTCCCCCATCCACTTCCCATAGTTTCCAATGTATCCATGGGCATCGACGATTATGGCGTTTGTGGCTTTGTCCTCGTTGAGTCTCCAGCCTTCAGGGGTCGAGACTGATCGGGGGGGTGCGATAGCTAACTGTGCTTAGAGGCCGACCGGCTGGCCCCAGGTGTCACGCGGCCGAAGGGGGTGATAGGGACTGGCGGTGGAGGAGGAGGAGGAGGAGGAGGAGGAGAAGGAGTTGGAGGAGTAGGAGCAGGAGCAGCAGGAGGAGGAGGAGGAGGAGGAGCATGAGGAGGAGGAGGAGGAGGAGGAGGAGGAGGAGGAGGAGGAGGAGGAGGAGGAGGAGGAGGAGGAGGAGGAGGAGGAGGAGGGGGAGAAAGAGGAGGAGGAGGAGGAGGAGGAGGAGGAGGCGGAGGCAGGGGGCCTCCAGAGGCCCTGAAAATGACTCGAGCTCGATCGTCGGCGTCGGCGGCGGCGTCGTCGTCGCTGTCCCCGCAGTCCCCGAGAGCTGGGGGGGCCTCGCACGGGTGCCTCGCTCGAGACACCCTTTGGGGGCAAACCTCGCTGCGACCGCGCACTGCGCCCAGCACCGGCCCCCCCGCCCTCCTCGCGCCCCATGGGCGAGCGGGGCGTCCGCGAGAGGCGACGTCAGGGGGGCAGGGCGGGCCAGCGGACCACAGGAGCAGGAGGCGCCTCGGCCTGTCACGGGGTGCTCGAAGTGGAGGAGCGGGGCCAGAGCAGCGCGACCCCCATCCCGAGACGCAGCCCGAGCGGCAGCCCGAGCCGCAGCGCAGCCGCAGCACGATCGCAGCCCGAGCCGCAGCCGCAGCCAGGAGGGGGTTGGGGGGACACGATGGGTGCATCCGCATATAGCTGGCAGACTACCCCTCCCACGCATCCCTTCCCATTACGCTGGCTTCGTTTGTGTCCGTGGAGTGTCCTGGAGGACCTTGGTTCCCCAAGTGTCCCCCATCGTGTGATGTGCGATGGCGAGAGCGCCAGTCTGAACGACGGGAGCGACGCACCGATCCTGACAGGTGCCCATCGCTGCAGCAAGAAGACCAGTTGTGAAGGGCCGAGACCGCTCCGATCCAACAGCGCAGGCAAGACCATGGACTTCTCCGTGCCGAGACAGGACGCGCAAGAGATGGGAGCACGCGCGCGCTGTCGGGGGAGAGGTGTGGCGACGTACTGATAGCGTGTACAGTGGAGGCTAGTCCACAAGAAACCTTCCACAAGAAACCCCACCCTGAGACCCCAGGACGTCCATTCATTTGTTTGTGTGGGAACGTCACGCTTGCAATCGAAAAACTACCCCGAAACCCAGGACACCCAGGACACCCTGGAGGCAAGCAGGGTGTCTCTTGGCATGAGCCCCCACCACACGCACCCGAGGAAGGCGGGACACGCGAAGGAAGAGGCTGCTCCATGGCTGCGTCCGACATGCGGGCCCGGCGGTCCGCAGAGCCGCGGGGGGGGGGGGGGAGGGGTGCGCGCGGGGCGGAGCCGCGCCTGCGGCAGCTCGCTGCTCGCGCACACCAGCTGGTAGCTGCTCGCGGTCTCGGGGTCCCACATGGCTGCCGCGCGGAGGCAGTCGTCGGTCGTCGGTCGTCGGTCGTCGGTCGTCGGTCGTCGGTCGTCGGTGTCGCCGTCGCCGTCGCCGTCGTCGTCGTCGTCGTCGTCGTCGTCGTCGTCGTCGTCGATGTGCGGGCGGCCAGGGAGGGTCCGGAGGGATCCTCGGAGACGGCGGGGCGGGGGGCTGCGCACGGACTCGGCCAGCGCACGGACAGCAGGCGGCCGGCATCCAAGACACCCCGGGGGCCCACGAGGGCAAGCAGGGCGGCCCACGGTGCGAGTGCGGCGGCCCAGGTAGCCACGATATTGAGTTGAACGAATTCGGGTCTCGGCCCCGCCGGAGTAGGGGGAACGACGCCACCATCATTCTCTAGCCCCCCCCCGGAGCCGGGGCGGTTGCCAGACGATGCTACATGGGCGGCGGGATTGGGAAGAAGCGGATTGCTTATGCAGGGCTTGAGTTCGGAGGTGCAGATCGTTTTGCACTCACAAAGAGTTCCTCGAACCGGTCGGATGAATCTAGTGGGTGGATGGCCAAAACCTGGCGAGATCCTGGCGAGGAGAAGATACGATTTGCGGTCGGACAGTTCTGTGTTCGGAACGTGGTGCACATGGCGCCTGTTACTTTGGTCGTTGATGCTTTGCTTCTCAGACGCGGTTTACCCAAAGAGCGTCTGATGTGTGAAAACACGTGGCTCGCATCGTCGGGATCTCCAGCCATAACTTCCACAGGAATGAGGCACTCTACAACAAAGCTGTGCAACCCCACACAAGCAAATTATCCAGCATCCTCATCCCACTTATCCTGCTCTTCCTTCTCGTATGGCTTGCTACACATGGTCATCCGTCTCCCTCTCCATCTCTCCATCTCTTCCTCCTGCCAGAAGTCCTCCTACACATGTCCTTCGCAAACTACTCCTTGCGTCCTGGCTCACTCCAGCACTATCCATTCATCCATCCACCCTCCTCCTCATCTGCCTCCTCCTTCTCGCCATCTGTCCCACCCCTGTTCCCCTATGCCACGATGTCCCTGTCAGATCACGTCCTCCCCCTGATCCTCCTTTCTTTCATCCTCCTCATCCTCTTCGTCATCCTCCTCATTATCCCGGTCCTCCTCCTCATCCGTTTCATTATTGGTCCCCTGTTGCGAATCCTGCAGCCGCTCCTCCTCCTCCTCCTCCTCCTCCTCCTTTCCCCCGTCGCTCTTTCCCACACTGCTCCTCCTAATTATTCTCCATGTCCTCCACGTCCCCCACTCCCCCTTCTCTTCTCCGTGCTGCATTCCTTGTCAACCTGGTCCTCGTAGTCCTCCTCATGCTTCTCCGCCTCCTCCTCCTTTTCCTGGAACCTCGGGAGCCCTCCATCCTCCTCCTCATCATCATCCTCTTTCTCCCCTTCCTCCTCACCCGTCCCCAACTGCGAGCACCGCCGCGAGAAAGTGGGCGGCCGAGCACCCATGGTCTGCTCGTGCAGGAAAATGCGGTCGCAGATCGTCCTCTGGTCCTCGTCCGAGATCAACCTGGCGGGCTGGGCGCTGGAGGGGCTGGAAGCGTGGCGAGGTGAGGGAGGGGTGTGGGCTGCACGGGGGCGGGGGGGCAAAGGAAACTTTTAGGATCCAGGGGGGGAGTTGGCAAGAGGAAGGAGAAGGGGGGGGGAGGAGGGGGCGAGGGGAGGAAAGTGTGAGGGGAAAGAGGAGGATAAGGAGGAGGAAGAGGAGGAGGAGGAAGTGGAGGAGGAGAGGAGGAGGAGGAGGAGGATGGCAGAACTACAAATTGCTGATGCATGTTGCAGGCGGGGCAATGCTGTTTAGAACAATCTAGGCGTACATAGGAATGTTTTGGAAGATCAGGACGTGCGTGGAAATCATCGGAGGGGGGTGGGCGTGGTGAGCCGTAGCACCCGCAGGCGCAGTTAGGAATGACGGGCTCCCGGCGCAAGTGTCACATCAGAGACTTTTACTGAGACCAGAGGCTCGCCGCAGACCTATGGCTTCCTGCGCAGCCCAGATCGGCGTCATCGCTACGACCAGGAACTGTTGCGCAGCGTGTCGCGGCCGGCTGCCCCTGCGACACCCTGTGCCCTGCAGGCTGACAGCGTGCCGCCCCGCTTGACGGCACGGGAGGATGGGAGACGCTCGAATACGAGGACACCCTCCTCGAACCGACCCCGACCTGACAACCCAGGTCCGGCTGTCCCATCCTGCGCTCGCGACCCCGCTCCTTCTGGGCAGCACAGGGGCAGGCCCAGAGAGCGGGCCCGTGCCCTGCCGCTGCCGGCCGTCGGGCCTCGGCGACGGAGCCCGGCCCAGGTACAGTCGGGGCCTTGACCTAAGGGACCCAAAATGAGGAACGAGGCCATTTTTTTCCATAAGTTAAACTTCGATTTCCGATCGAAGACATAAGGAAAACCTGAGGCAAGCTGCGAAACACTTAAGGAACGCGGAGCCCCTCCCCAACCAAAAGGGTTCCTTCTTCAGGGCCCCGACTGTAGGGCGCGAGCTGAACAGCATGCTCCGCTGCCGTCGGGTCCTCGTTCTCCCTCGCTCCGTGCTCGTTCCGCCCTCGTCGTGGAGCGAGATCAGAAAAAAAAACGGTCCACGGAATGGCTGAAGCACCCCTCAGCTCGCGCCCTGCCGCAGAGCGAGGCAGCCCCGTGGCAGTGTCCTGTTTGGACGCCCGAAGTGGGTGCGGAAACCATGGGCACACTGCCCAGCAACAAACGACGTCCAAGTCCAGAACCGACAGCGGCCGCTGCTGGGCAGGCGGTTTTGTCCTCGACGAACAACGTCCGCGGCGGCGCGGACAGCGAGTCCTGCTCAAAATGAGCAGCAACTGCTGTTGGGTCACCCGCCTCGAACTTATCGCTATGCCGAAGATTGACACGCCACCATGCGATGACAATCCTGGTGCGCCCTCAGAAACGCAGGGAGCCCCGGAGATCGGCATCGTGATGAGGCGAAGCCCAGCACATGGACGGGGACATGCTCCAGGCTGGCGATTGGACAGCGTAATCCAATAGCCCTTATAACTGCGACGAGGCGACGATCGAAAGCAGTGCCCCGGCACTGCTTTGAACGCGTTCAAAGCAGTGCCCCGGCACTGCTTTGAACGTATGATATGATGATATGATGATGATTATGATTGATGATGATGATGATTTTTCCAGCGTGCACTGTCCGCAACTGCGGCAATCAACATCATGTTCCACTTGCCCGCAACTGCGGCCATCACCAACGCTGCCCCTCGAAGCTCCACGGAGAGCGCTCGGCAGGTCGCCCGCTCGAGCCCCACTCGACTTCACGCTGAGGAGGCGAGCCCTCAGGGGCATTGTCCGCAACTGCGGCTTGATCAGAGGGCCACCACTGCGCGCCATCAGCGCCCCATTCGCTCGAGCTCCAGTCCCACCAGGACCAGCCCTGCCATCTCGTGGCGGGACTGCGCGCCTCCCATGCGCCGCTGCCGCTGGCGTCCCAGGACCCAGCCGCCACTGCGGCACAAGAAGGGGTCGCAGCGTCGCCGTTGGCAGCTTGCGGCGGTGGCGTGTTCCCAGCTCGCTCAGCCCCAGCGTCTCTCCCCGCAACTGCGGTTCCCATCTGGGGTCGGACGCCCTTACCCGCAACTGCGGTGTCCGCGTAGCTGCCCTTCTTGCCGCCCTTCTTGCCGCCCTTCCTGCCGCCCTTCCTGCGTTCCAACCTCGCGGCGAGTATTTCAGGTGACCTGCGGCACGTATTGTGCGTGAAAGCCACCAGAGGGAAGTGCGCTCCGTGCCTCGCCCTGCCGAAGGCGCCATGCCATATCTTGTCGTCGAGGTTGCACTGCTTCACTCTGAAGGGATGGCGCACCCAATCGTCGCGTTCCCTGCGCGCCATCCTTTGCTCGAACTCCGCAACTGCGGTCAAGGATTCGCCAGATGGCGGCAGGAAGGCGCGCATCTTGTTTTCAACGGGCTCAGCCTTGGGCACGTAAGTCTGAAGCATCTTCCCAGGGCCATTCGTGTAGTCGAAGACAGGGAAAGACGGATCATGCTGGGTCGTCAAGAATCCGCCCTCACGGTCGTGCAGAACACTCAGGCCATGGTGAAGCTTGTACTGCCCAGGACAGTTTATGTACAAAATCGCCATGCTGTCTGCCCTGGGCTGGCCGCCTGCTGTCTTCCAGGGGGTCCACGCGGCGACGTCCACAGTCAGGCCGCAATTGCGGCACCAGGACACAAGCTGGAACATGCACATGTTGAAGTCCCCCATGCAGACCTTCACGTCCCATTCCCTGACGTAGGCGACGAACCAGTTGTTGAACTCATGGAGCTTCGTGACGCCCCAGTCTTGGTTGGCCAAGCTGTGGTGGACGTGCACCGCCATGACGTTGAAGGAGCCCCCCAAATGGGGCACGGCCTGGTCCAGGTGGACGCGCACCACCATCGCCCTGGAGTACTTGTTGTGCAGCTTTGGCGCAGGAGCCTCCGCAACTGCGGACTGTTTCTTCTTCTTCTTCGTTTTGGACTTCACCTGCTTGTGGAAGAGTCTCGCAAAGTCTACGTGTTCAATGTGGCCGCCACTGCGGTCCCTCATGCCAACAAGGAGGGTCCCTGATGGCTCGCCGCCCTTTACGCACAGGTAGTTGTATTGAGTCCGACTCCGAAACCTATCGTCCGCAACTGCGGCTGCACTGTCCCTCGCGTCGTGCTCCCCACTGAGTACCGCGCAGGTCTCGTCGGCGCACTCGCAGAGGGCGATGATCTGGGCAGGGTTCGCGCGGAGCTGCGCCCACTCGTCCGCGCGTTGCGTGGGTCTAGCTGCAGTCCCTCCGAAGTTGGCCACGTAGAAGCCGACCCGCCCCGCTTCGAACTCCGTTTTCTCCTCCCATGCGTCGACAAGAGCTCTTTGTTTTTCCGACAGATTGCTTGTCTCGATGATGGGCACCCGTTTCCAGGGTCTCCGCGTCGACAACACTCTCGGCATGTAGGAGTCATGTGCTGCCGCAACTGCGGCTCCCGCACCTCCCCGGGACTCAGCCTCGTCAGCGGAGGCAGCCGAGGACCCGACGGTTGCTGTCGCATTTGCGTCGTGTGTCGTGTAATCATCGCACTGCGGTGTCGTCTTTGCTCCCTCCTCTCCTCAGGTTAGTGGATGAACAGTTTGGGAATCGAGGTACTGTCCATTACTCCGAGAGTGCGTCGGGCGCTGCGGGCGGGGCACATGCTTGCGGTTCTTCGCGTAGCGCCATACTCGTGCACGGTGGTACGGAATGGATGCGAATGGGCAATGGGGTCGGAATGGTGGGAGGTGACAACGAGGTTCGAGGAGTGGCAGTAGGGGCGGGCGCCGCGCCCAAGTGGGTCAAAACAAACATATGACTGGAGGGAAGCAGAAGGGGGCGACGATTTTTGAAAGGGATGTGATGGTTTATTTAAAGCAGTGGAAGTCGCAACTGGGTGTTGCCTCTTTGCCCGCGCGGGAGCGCTTGGAAAAACAATTCTCTTGGACTTCTGTTGGGTCCGCAACTGCGGCCTGCATCACGCTAGGGCTGGGATTACCAGCGCCATTTGCCCTCCCAGGGTTCTCACTGTTTCCGAATGCACGAACTGCGACAGCGCGAACGGTTCCCAGACGCCGCGTCGTTCGCGACTTTTTGCAGCCACCCAGCAAACGTGAGCGGCCATTGCTCCTTGTGCTGCTTGCACATCTCCTCGTCCCAATGCGTCTTGAACCATGCCCACTCCCCCCTCTGCACGTCTGAGAGGACGCCTTTTCCGCGAGCCAGGCGATCCAGAGCTGCCATCCTGTTTTTCTTGATCTTGAACTCCTCGGGATTCCACTGCGCTAGGGCGTGTTTGTTAGCCAAAGCCGTTTCCACCGCAACTGCGGCCTCCTTCTTTGCCATCAAGGCGGCCTCGGCCTCTCGAATCTGCTTCTTGAGATCGTGCAACGCCTTCGTCCTGTCGTTCGCTTCCAGAGCCAGGCGCCGCTTTTTCGCCACCACTGCGGCTTCGTGGTCTCGCTGGGCAGTCAACGCTCGTAGGACCTCGTTGTCCTCCCGCGCCAGCTCTCTCAACCGGTTCTTTTGTTTGTGTCGTTGCTGTCGGCAATCCTGCGCTAGTTTCTCCATGCCCACTTGGCGCAGCATATCTTCCGCCTCGCGGAGCGTTTCTGCCAAGGACGTCGCCACTGCCACCTGCTCGGGCGCCTCTGCGTCGACCACGCAGTCCATGCATACCGAGGATCCTTGAGGCCCAGGTGCCGCAACTGCGGCATCGCACTGTTCCGCAAGAGCCTCGGCCCACGAGGCCTCCTCTTGCTCTTCGTCCTCCTCGTGCTCCTCGTGCACCTCCTCCTCCTCCTCCTCCCCGCCCTCATCATCGCCCTCCTCGTGGCCTGGCTCCTGGCCTAGCGCTTCGTCGCCGAGCTTCTCCAACACGGAATCTGTGGCGTCGTGTTTCTCGTATTCGTGTATGAGACGCAGCACGTCATTGTAGGACCATTTCAAACGTTTCTGCTCGCATTCTTCCCTCACCTCCGCGACTGCGGTGTCCACTTTTGCTCGCAGCCCCCCTGCTTCCCAGAGTTCCGCCGCCTCTCGGCAAATCTCGTGATCTCC